AATAGCGTGTTGCATACGGAGTAGAAGCACTTTTTTGTGCTTCAGCAGTATTGCAAGCCTCACTACGTTTGGCTCGCAAACCTACTGCTTCAGCCCAAAAAAGTAAAGCTTCTACTCCTAATACAACAATCGAGGGGGTAACATCTTGCCGCAATACTGTCACAAATTCTCAACAATCGCTTGCAATCACTTAAATTTCCGTGACAATCTCAGTCGCAGTCCCACAATCGGGTTTGCAATCTCACAATCGCTGTAAAACAATCCTACAATCGCATTCGCTGCCCCACAATCGCTGTCGCAATCTGACAATCGCATTGGCAATCGCGTACACCATCACTTGTTTTAAGGTACAATCGCGCGCGTTTATTTGTTTATAGTAAGAGTCAGCGCAGTCGGCAAAGATAGACTGACAGGCAAATTTCTTGCTATTTTATGTTATTTATTAGCGATTAAACTGTTGTTTTCTGTGAGTTTTCACTGCGGTATCCTACTGTCAAGAAAAATAGACTCTTTATTCGCTCCAGTGTTGGCGGCCAGCCCTGCATTACATTAGCACATACCATTAGACCCTAAAGCCTTCTAAAAATAAAAGTCTGGGACAAATATTTGTTGGTGAAAAAATCAACACTGTGTTCTCTATTTTCCAATAAAAACGCAAGTAAAAACGGAAAGTTATCAACCGAGTTATGAACAGATGGAAATCTCAGATGCAAAAGTATGAAAAATTGTCAAAAAAAATAAATAATAGTATATTACATAGCGAGGTGGAAAGTGTTTATATATATATTACTGTCGAGAGATTTAAGTTAGACCGAGGCGCAGCCGAGGTCTAACTGAAATCTCGAGACAGTAATGAAACGTTTCACCGAGGTATGTATACTATTTTATTTACAATCATTCGAATTTTGAAATTTTCATTTGAATTAAAACTAAAAAATACAATAATTAACAATTTCATTTACTTTCGGCCCACGGGTCGAAAGTTTACTTTCGACCCGTGGGCCGAAAGTAACAGTCAAAAAATACAATAAATTTTAAAAATTTCATTTACTTTTGGCCCACGGGTAAACTTTCGACCCGTGGGCCGAAAGTAAAAGTCAAAAAAGTGACATTTTCGAACTCGGTAAAGTCAACATTACATGTATGATTGTAAATAATAGTATATTACATACCGAGGTGGAAAGTGTTTCATTACTGTCGAGAGATTTTAGTTAGACCGAGGCACAGCCGAGGTCTAACTAAAATCTCGATTGCGTGATTGCGCGATTCCGTATTGAAAGTAAAAGTCAAAAAATACAATAAATTTTAAAAATTTCATTTACTTTCGGCCCACGGGTCTCGAGACAGAAATGAAAACTTTCCTCCGAGGTTTGTATACTATTTTATTTGCAAGCACACAATTAATTATGATTAGTGAATCAATTTTTTTAATATTAAAAAAATAAAACAAACAAGCCAAAATGTGTCATTCACTGCTTTGACGTTTTTACCTGACATGTTCTCATTGTTGCCAGCAAAGGTAAATAAATTAGAGTGAGGGAAATCGGTGAGGGAAGTCGAATAGGGAAATGGGTGAGGGAAATCGAAGAGGGAAGTGACACAGGTAAAGTGTCACTTCCAAATTTTCAAAAAGTCAGTAATGACAAGATTACATATATGATTGCAAATAAAGTAACAAAACAGCATCAAGTAGGAATAGAGCCGAGAATAGAGCCTATTAAAAGAGCAAAAATAATAAACTGCAGTCAACAAGGGCTCCAAGCATAGAAGATGCCGCAACCTCTGAAGGTCGAAGCTGTATTCCGAAAAAAGTGAATTGGGAAATGAGAGCAGAAGAAAAAACATTTTGTGAAGAAATGTCTTTAAAAAATGAAGAATACTATGCTGCTGCATATGATACATGGTATATTGACCGGATCATAGAGACGTTAGATGTTGAAGTGAAGTATAAAATGAAGTTCCTCAGAAGAGGTCTTGATGATTACATTTGACAAGATAAAGATATACAAATAGTAGCAAAAAATATACAGGGTGTCCCACCGGAAACCAAATCGATCCATATATGAAAAACTGTATGCAGAAAAATTTTGAAAATTTGACAGTATAGGTCACAGATTAACCCGTCCTAAAGATAGGAAACTCAGGCCTTTTTCCCTGTCCTTGTCTTACTCATGCAGCGAGTTGTATGACTGCCACAGCATGGTGGCGCTAGTGTGCACTTCGGTGTGTCCAGTATTGTGGCAGTAGTCACGTGGTTCCCCCTTTTTTTCAAATAATTTGTCTAATCAATCTGATTTCATTAATAAACCCTATATTTTTTGAAAATAAAACAACATTTCAGTACTATCTCCTTCTTTAACAGAACAGCCTTCAACACAACAACAGAAAACCGTATTGAAAAAAAAAACCACTAAAAAGTTGATAGGTCTTGTGCACAAATGACTCCTTAACTGAATGTCAAAAATTGCAAATAAATACCATCACTAAAACCATTTCCACAATGCTTACATGTAACATAAGGTCTCTTTTCTTAAAAACATAGGTATTAAGAAGTTAAAGTTTTACCAAAAATTGATAGAAAATCAAATAAAGAACACTAACACACATCAAACGGCTGACTAATGGAAAATATAATTACAAATTGTGATGACAAATTACCTACATTCATTCACAGATGACATTTGCTTGTGGCTTTGCTATACTAGCGCCGCATAGTTTTGGCAGTCATGAAACTCTCATACGTGTTATTTTTTAGACAGCTCTGAACGAACATTTTACATGGAAGTTTCCTATCTTTAGGACGGGTTAATCTGTGGTATAGGTGCTAATTTCAGTAGGGGCAACCCGACTAAAATATTTTCAAAATGGTGGCACTTCCAATTATACCGGAAGTAGACAACTTGCTGATTTTAAATGAGACACCCTGTATGTTATTGCATATTTGGATTCTACGTAAAATTCTGAGCAGATTTCATGTCATATACCCTATACCCAAGTTCAACTGTTTTGGAAATAATAGAGAGTTATTGGACGTGCAATAAGGACAAGCAGTATTTAAAATAGCCTTATAAGTTAAATACAAAAGTTGTACGGTATTATCTCTATTATATTTTTGGCTGGCTAGCATGATTGATCTTTTCCTTCTGATTCCAAATACACCATAACAAAATTGCATTAAGTAAGCCTGACCATTGATTTAAGGAACTGGGAACCGACCTAATTTAGGGTAATGTAAATGCATTTTAAAACTTAGATATCGTAAAAACTGCTGAACCAAATATCAACATTTGTATATGGTATATTTGGAATCAGAAGAAATATATCATTTTATTGAAAAATATACAGGGTGTTCCATTTGAAAAAATGCAAATGTTTGTCATTATGTTTGTTGACACCTGCCATTTACCCGTTTTGACATGTGCATGTGCAAAAGATGATAGAGATAAAACCCTACAACTTTTGTATTTAACTTTTTTTATTATTTCTTTTTTTTTGTTCAAGTTGTAGAAGCGACACTATTTATAAACACTATTCATGAGCAAGAAAGGAACAGACCCTGTACATACCCATATACAACTTTGAAATCCTTGAAAGAATAGCAAAATATATTTGTTCATATTTTTACTCGTATTTTAATTTGTGGGTTAATAACTAAAAATCTATAATCTAATGGCCAAAATAAATAAATATGTTCCTTAAGATAATAATATGTCAGTGTAACTCAGTAACTCAAGCAGCTACCAAAAATCTTTCTGAGTCACTCGCAATCGCCTACAATCGTCTGCAATCATTCATAATCGTCTGCAATCATTCACAATCATATGCAGTCACAATGCAATTCTTCAAAATCTAACAATCGCCGCCTCACAATCCCGGATTGCAGTCGCAATCGCAGCAATCTTAGGAAAATCGTAGGGATTGTCGCAATACTGTCACAAAATTCAAGAAGATGTTACCCCCTCGACAACAATATATAGACTGTGAGATAGGGACTGTTTAGTGGTGTCATTTTTTTTTGTCTGGCATTTTGAGGGCTGAATGTGGCTGGTTAGCTGATGAGAATAGGGGTGATTTTAATGCCTGCCACCCGTTCGAAAATTTGGAGAAGAAAAAAATTGATTCACATGAAGAATTTTTTTTCAATGATCTCAAATTTCCTGGCTTTTAATTCATAAATAATTCACCCATATAAAATACCAGATGCTTTTCAATAGCTGAAAAAGTGGGGATGAGTGTCAACTTTCAAGAGAATAAAAAAGAACCTTCCGCGTTTACTTTTTGTCTGGCAATCGAGAGAATAAAAGGTTTTATTGTGAAAATAACACTGAAAAATCGCCAAACGGTAATCACAGTTCGAAATCGAGTTTTCCGGCGAAACATGCTGTGGACATTTCGAACAGGTGGCAGGCATTAAAACCACTTATATTCTCATCAGCTAACTTGCCACATTCAGCCCTCAAAATGCCAGAAAAAAATAACTCCACTAAACAGGCCCTATCTCAGGGTCTAATACTATTTTCCAAGTTTTGACATAATCAATCTCAAAAGTATAAACCCTGGTGAAACGGACTGTAGCTTCTTTATTGTACCTACCACCCTACCTCTGTATCTAAAGTCTGTTTTTTTAAAAGATAAAAGTCAAAATGACATTATGTTGGCAATACAATGTAAAATTGTCAATGCTTCCAAATTATTTATGTAGAAAAGGCTTGTGTTGCCAACATAGTTACTAAATTTTTGACTTGGGGAATTATCTTCAAAAAAAAAACGGACTTTATTAACTTTTTTTTTCAATTTAATGCCAAGTTTTGAGATTTCAAAAACCACCTATCATTGTAGGTATAGGTACAAATACCTACAATACAAAAATATATTTCTCATGTTTATTTTAGAACTCTGGCATGCTGGTAATGATAAATAGGTTGTAATTTTACGTAAAGTACCTCTACATGTATGATATTATGATTATATAGTAATAATTTTAATAAATAACCACTTACAGAAAGCAAGAATTCATAATAATTTCAAGATCCATAATTATTTAACTTCTTTCCTGGTCTTTCCAAGTGAAATTGCTCCTGAAAAAGTTGGAATTAAATTTTGAGGCATTGAATTACTAGAAATAATCAGAGGAAAATTAAGAAAAACTGGGAAATGAATGAAAGAAACATGAAATTACCTCTGGTCAGTGGAAGGATACCTACTTATTTTATATATATTTAGTATATTTTATTTGTGGTATTTGGTTATTTTGCTTTCGGTTTCGTTTGGTTGGTGTCATATGATTGTTTGACGTATCAGCTGTAGGGATAACAAACTATCGATAGGAATATCGATACTATCGATATTTTTTTAATTTTCGACAGAATCGATAGCCCTGCACCAATATCGATAGTTCCAAAAGTAGCCAAATGTAAATGAAGATTTTTTTTAGAGTTTTTATGAAGATATCTGTAGATTGAGGAAAATATAAAGAAACCTGTAGCTGTTTTGAGAAATCTGTAATTATTTTTTGGGGGCAGACATGCTGTGCGGCCAATTTTTAATTTTTAGGTTAGGAGGAGTGACATTAGGTCTGTTCTGCAGAAATCACATACCAGTCAGAGTGAATTTCATTGGTTGAAACTAGTTTTCTGACTGTTTCTGTTTTCAACCAATGAAATTCGTTCTGACTCGTCTGTGATTTCTGCAGAAACAGACCTTTTGAATTCTATCCATCTGTCAAAACGAATAATTCAATATGGCGTGGCGGTCAGCAAGTTTCTTTTGAATATGTATTTTAGTATTTTCATGCATATTTTAGTTATTTTGCTTCGGGTTTTACTTGCAGCTTTGATTTTGATTATTCAATAAAATATTTGTTCACTAGGTACGTAAACTATTAAGTCGGGCGGAAACTAGATATTTTTTGTGATTTTTGGTCCATGTGAGGTCGCAACGCCATCTTGAATGTCTCGTGGTTTGAATTGCCTAATGATTATTTAAGGTTATGATGTTATTGTTGTCATTTGATAAATTTATTTCGTAATTATTCACAAATTTGGTTACTTTGGTCAGAGCAAACTATCGATAGTACAATCGATAGTTACTATCGATAGGTAGGCCATTTTATCGATATCAGTATCGATAGTTTTTTTTTCGATAGTTTGTCAACCCTAATCAGCTAGAATCTAAAGGCGCATCCACATCAATGGCTGTGTTCAACGGGACTTAGCGGATGTTAGCGCTTGCATGCGCTTTCGGCTAATTGACCGATAAACGACTAGTTAGCGCAAAAGCGCCTGTCAGCTTACTTAGCTCATTTGAAAAGTGCTATTTTTAGTTAGCTGTTGTTAGGGCCAAATTATGAACTGACTGGTAAACGTCTGGTTGTTACCTAGCAGGTACTCTCTATGCACTAGAGAATAGAAAGTACCTGCTAGGTATCAACCAGACACTTACCAGTTGATCCAATAGGGAATTATTGAAATATGGCCGCAGTTGACTGTGCCGCTTTAGTGCCGACCTAAAATTGACTGTGGCGGGCGCTATTTTGGCTCACAAAAGGAATTATTGAACAACACGTTGAACTCGGCAATGTGAACTTTGGCAATGGCATGTCATGTTTTATTTTCATATTCCTAACTTCCTAACCTAAAATTGCAAAGTGTAAATACGTGTTTGGTGTTCTTCTAGTGGTTCTTCTTGCAGTTTGTCTTGGGTTTGGTCGAACTTCGTTCAAAATCAGTTCTGATAATTGAACTGCGCTTGCGCATTTCTTCATATCGAACATGTAAACCAATGCGCAAGTGCAGTTCAATTCAGAACTGATTCTGAACTAAATTTGAGCAAACCCATAAATGTAAATTACTAAAAAAATGACGTTAACATTTGAACAGTGGCGACGCCAGGGGGGGGCCGGGGCTCCCCCTGAAATTTAGCTGGCCCCCCCTGAAAACTTGCCCTCATGTCGACAACAATGCAATGCAACATGCGTAACCTCTGCTCTCTGGTTAATTTGATATTTAATGGGCGCCAGGCAACCACTGGGATTCCCCCAAACATATTTGTGTCGGCAGGTACAGGGTTTTCCTGTGTATTTTTGGCACCTCACCTGAAGGCCGGTTTCTCAATAGCAAGCAAGTCACCCCCAGGTCAGAGCAGTTAACCATAACTCCAGGGTAAACATTGCAATTGGACACGTTTACCCTGGACTAGCTATCGAGAAACCGACCCTGAACGGTTAATTGAATAGGTATCAAGAAGATTTATCTATACAGGGTGTCCGTTTTTCGAGAGCAATCATTGGAATATAGAAAACGGTAAGAGATACAGGTTCGGTGAAATTGGGACAAAGTTGCGCAATTTCTTGCAAAACGCTACTTCGAAATTTGGAAAATTCCGAATACTTCCGGAGATGCATGGGAATCAAAATTTTGTAAAATCCATTTCTATATTTTCCTGGACTCATTTGGTATTTCAAATAAACTTCACTTTATTGGGGCAACTTTCTCCCCTCTACATAATGGTGTAACCAAATTTGAAATCCGACGTTTCGTCTTTTGCCGATCATCATCAACTTTATTTTTTTAAATAGAGGTTTGCATTTTATGAATTGTATTCGGAGTTTCTTGATCTCCCAAAAGCAGTAACACATTTGGCCATTGATTCCGATTTTGTATCTCTTACCGTTTCCTATATTCCAATGGTTTTCCTCGAAAAACGGACACCCTGTATACAAAATCCAAATAAAAACCTTTTTGATACATTCAATTAAGCTGTTCAGGTGGAGTGCAAAAATATACGGATAAACTTTGCAATTTTCATTTTTTATTTCAAAGAAGAAAAGCAATAAAGTAAGAACAAGTGCCCCCCCTCATTTTTTCTGGCCCAGCCTGGCCCCCCCTAACGTAAAACCCTGGCGTCGCCACTGCATTTGAATAGCCTTCCCGAGCGTCAACTTGAGAAAAAGGAGAGACATGGGGACGAGACTGTGCCTGTTTATGGCCTGTTTCTTCCCTATTATTTGGCCCTTAGCGCTAATATGAAATGTCATAAATGTCTAATTAGGCATTCCAGGTTGACGTCGGGCGAGTTTGGGTTGACGCTCGGCGGAGCGAGCAGAGCGATTACGGAGTAACGTGACGTCACAGGGAGTACACCGTGTCAAGCCAAATAAACTTGTGCAAAAATGCTGGGTTGAGCGATCAGCTGATTATTGTTTATTTTTCTTGACATATAATTTTTTGGAGTCCGAGCCGGCATTCCGCATTTGTACCAGAGTTTTCTCGTTTGTTTTGCATTTTAGTCACTAATTTTCAAACAGCCCCATTTTCTTTTGTATTCTGCAAAAAATGTGGTTGTTACATGTCAACGATGTCAGAAAGTGTCAGATTGATAAAGCCTAGTACTCATAACCGCGAAATTCGCTCTGTTTTGACATTGCTTCGACAATTTGACGTTTGATTCACGCATAAAACGTCAAATTGTCGGAGTCAAAAAAGAGCGAATTTCGCTGTTATGCGTACTAGGCTTAATCCTGCCAAAAGAAAAACTTATGTTTTTTGTTTATTGTTTGCCAACCAGACGCCATTTGGACAGGTCGTTGGATTGCCTAATTGGAAAAATATGTTCAATAATACCAGTGATGAGGACTATTATTGAGAAAATTTAATTAAAGGTAAAAAATTTTGCAGAATTTACTAGCTATTTGATTGTTAACATTTAAACAAAATAGTTATTCTATCCACCTAACAAGTATATGTTAAAATTCAGGATTGTTTATATTTATTTTATCATGGAAAATAGGTTAGGTTATACAAACAGATTAAACTGCGCATGCACGCTCCAGCTGCCCACCCCACAAACTCGGAGTTTATCGAGCTCGCTCTGAGCGCTCAAAATATGTCAAACCAAACACAATCAAGCGTTGTCGGAGCTTCAAAAATAACAGAAAAGAGACAAAAGTGCAAGCTCTGGTGCACCGAGCGTCAACCCAAACACGCCCGTCATAACCCCGCCATTTTAGCTGAGTGGCAAACAAAAGCCAAACATAACCTGATTTAATATTATTTTCAATGCAAACCGAGAATTTTTGTAGTAATTTTGTGAAGATGCCTTCGTTTTGTGGCGTTTTTGGGTGCTCCAATAGAGCTGAAAGGGATAAAGTGAGGTTTTTTAGGATTCCAGCAGCATTTAAAGATCGAGGGAATCGCATAAACGAACTATCAAAAAAACAACGGAGTATGTGAATTAGATGCCTCAATAGGGGAGATTTGCCTATAACGTTGTTAAAAATGCTCGAATTTGTTCGAAACATTTTGTTAATGGTAAGTTTTATGACTGTTTTGTTGTTAAAATACAAAAACACTTCATCTAGGTACATCAAAAAAGTTGTTTATGTTTCTACAAGTATATAGGTAACTTTTAATACCTTTTAGGTAGTCCAGCAGAATTTAAGGATACAAACAATCCGGATTGGGTCCCCAGTACAAATTTAGGATATACTATGATAATTGATAGAAGCCCAGAATGAACAAGCCAGTAAGCTAAGCTACATGCCAGATCTGTGCACCGATCAGAACAGTCAAAACGTTTGAGGAGTCATTCTACTACAAATTTATTTTGCTAAAATTTATTTGTAAGGTTGTTAGTACTTATCAAACTTTTTTATTTTTTAAACAATTTAGATTCTTAAGCATTATTTTTGTTAATAAATTGTTTGTTTACTCTTGTTGAATTGAAATGTAAAGTGGCATGTCTGTAAATAAAGATTCATCCATTCATTCACAAACAACTTAAAATTTATTGAATAAATCAAAAAACGCAAAAATTCCAAATAGCACAAACTCAAAAAACATTGTAAACAATAATGATCTATAGGAACTATAGGCTTTGTTTGCCCCTCAGCTAATATGGCGGACCTATCAAAAGTCACGTGACCTGGAATTAGGCATTCCAGGAATGCGTTCAAAGACGGCAATGCTAATTGCCAAAACCAATGAACTATAGCTAAAAACTGGAATGCGCACACATTGCCATATCTGTCAAAAAAATGAAGCCATGAAAGACAGATGCCACAAGGGGGAATGTTGTTTTTTTCTGTTGCTCGCTGACATATGACGTTTTCGAAAGTTTTGTCATATTTCCCTTCACAGGTTTCATCAATTGGAATACGTGTTGGAAGCAATTTTCGCCATTTAACATAATGAGTGCGACAAAAACAGGTATCCCCTCCGCAGCAGCCGCACTAGGCTTCAAGTTCGTCCTTGTGTTGGCATTCCAGTTTTTGGTTATAGTTCATTGGCCAAAACCTACTTTTCCCCCTCCACCGGTAATGCCGAACCACGTAGGTTGGAGCCAAACTTGAACGCAAAATGCCAATTTTGGCTTGGCTGTAGCCATTCCTGAACGCAGCCCGGAGCTG